AGAGAGATAGAAGCCAGGTGTCATGCAACAAGAAAGATTGTTTTGTCTTTCAATTCTTTTAAAGTTGTGTGTCTATGGTTGATAATAATGGATTTTTATTTTTTACTTATGAAAGTAATTTACAGTGCACAGCATAAATGAGTACACCCCCTCTAAAACTTAACAAATTCAACAATTACTCTTTACTTAGAAGACATGTTAGGGTTCTTTGGAGATGTAATGTTCCAACAAGCCTGCTTGATCAATTACCAAAGAAGAATGCCAAAATTATTCAGCAAGTACTCATTTATGCTGTGCACTGTATGTAATTATTAATTATAAAAACTTCAAATAATATACAATATCGTTCAAAAGTTTATGGTTGGTTAGATGTTAAAAGTGTTTTTGAAGAGGTCTCTTATACTCACCAAGGCCGCATTTATTTAATCAAAAATACAGTAAAACTGAAATATTGTGAAATATAGTTACCATATAAAATAACTTTTCTATTTTAATACATTTTAAAATGTAATTTATTCATGTGATGGCAAAGCTGATTTTTCAGCATCATTACTCCAGTCTTGCTTGAGTGTCACATGATCCTTCAGAAATCATTCTAATATACTAATGTAAATTTATACTCATTCTAATGCACATTTTTTAAGAAATATAAATATCTTGTAACATTATATCAATTTAGTGTGTCTTTTCTGAATAAAAGTTCATTTCTGACCCCAAACTTTTCATCACTCGTGGACTTTTGTATATATCTAAGGAGCTGTAAATAAACGACACCTTGCACAAAAGTGCTATTGTGGGTAGAGCCATCATTTTTACAAATTGACACTTTTTACGTCCCCAAGCGAGTTGGTGGTTCTCACATTATCACAATATAATTTAAACTATAGAATTTATGTATTTGTCTTTTTCTACTTTATAAATAATTTGAAGTTTATTTTAAATTGCTTGGATTGTGATTCTCTCAGGATGGAAATGTAGGTGCTGGAATCAAGGCATCACATTTACTGACTCAAGATTTAGTATTTAATAAGATTTTTAGACTTAAATGAATGAAACAAAATCTTACAAGACTTCAAAGATTCTGAGGTCTCATTGTTCCTTTCAGTCACACAGTGAGTTTTATGACATATAGTAAATATGTCATTTTTTGTGAGCCCCAGTTATTCCACAAGATCAAAGTTACATTTGTCAGACATTTATGGGGGTTTTTTTTCTGTGCATTCATCCTCTCTTTCCACTTCCTAGATTTCGTGGAAATATATATATATATATATATATATATATATTCTTTAACGAATAGAAATTTCAAAAGAACAGCATTTATTTGAAACAGAAATGTTTCTTGTGTAACATTATAAATGCCAGTTTTGATTAATTTAATGCATCCTTGCTGAATAAAACTATTAATTTCTTTTTTTTAATGCATCTCTCTGACTCTGAAATTTTGAACCACAGTAAAATCAAAATCTGTCTGTTGTGCATCATTAAAGCAAATTTATATATAAATAAACATTTTTGTTTTGCAATTTACATCAATGTTTTTAACAGCTGCATAGTTATTAAAGTGACATTTAATAAGGTGTGCATCAATAGCAGATATAGGCTATTAGGACAGATTCTGAAATTCTGATTCCAAAAAGAGGCCCATAAGTATTTCAAATACAGTACTGTTTAATTAAATTATAATTACATTACTTTGTCACACATTAGAAAACTAGTAAACATAGAGTACTTTCAATTTTAGCACGTTGCAAGTTTGCACTTCTTTTTTTGCATTATCACAAATGATAATTTGACAACACGCATAAAGTCCATCTGTTGTGTTTGTCCACACTCTCTGGGTGAACTTCCACTTCTATAATATTTGCATTCATTGTGGTGACATACTGTATGAGACAGAGGGTTGTCTGATATACTGGTATATGTGTGTGGCTGGTGGGGATACTGTGGTTTTCACTTCACAATGACTGACGAGACAGTTGACTCGGGAACTCTAGGATAGTGACATTCATCCTCTCATTCTTGCATCCTTAAAGGACAGACACGTTCACAGAACACAGATGTTCCCTGCCTCAGGCTCACACATGGAACTGTTCAGTAGTCTGAGACAATGTGGGCTAGTTCACTGTGACCTATACAGAGCATTATTGTCTCATAGTACACACTACATAACTCTATATTACTGACACTTTATTTTAAATCAGAATGTTACCTTGATAATGTAGCATAAAGAATAATGTTTATAGTAATAAAGATTCATATTGCAAATGAACAATATATTGTTTTTCTCTGAATAGCTCTAATAAGGACAACTCCAGAAGCGTTCCAGTGAATTTGACTCTAAGCATTGCAGCGAGCGCACAGGTGGAGATCAGAGGGTGGGTATCTCTCGTTATCTGTCTCTTTCTGTCTCACTGAGCCGAAAATGAGCAGTCCCAGTCCTTTTTCAATAAAAGAACCCAGACTGCCACTGTTTGCCTGTTCAGAGGGATCCACTGGACCCTTATAACTAATGCTTACTAAACACTTCTGTTCGTTATGGATGATGCATTAGCCAATAAACAATGTCATCTATTATTTTCATTCAATCAAATAGTTTTTTGTTTGTTTGTTTGTTTTCTCAATCAGTATACTGTTTCACTTGGAAATCTGCCATATTACAAAAATAAAACAGGTTTTGAATGGTGTTTATTGGCAAATATGTAAGACTGTATATACTAATTTATGCATCTTACAGTACCTGTTTATAATGAAAATCATCCTCTTTTTTTTCCTTAGTGTGTCTCACCCAGCTCAGGTTGTTTTGCCTTTTCCTCGATGGGAACCCAAAGAGAAACCTGTGAGAGAGGATGACGTCGGCCCTCAGGTTCAACACATATATGAGGTGCAGAATAAACAGACACAAAACAAAACATTATTGGTGAACATGGAGTGCTTCAAACACAGAAATAGAAGAGAGAGGGTATAAAAGTACTGGAACTAACATGCTCTGTTAAATGGCCAGTAAGCAGCAAATATTCAATACTTTGGTGTAATCAAAGTGTACGAAATTCCTTATTCATTTGTAAGGGTAGTCTCCTCAACGTGCGTGTGACGTAATTGTGCGTGTACAGAGCGCTGAAGGCGGTCCGCCAGAGCGGTTTCAGTTTACTTTCAGTTTCATTTCTCTGCCGCTATTTCAAATGAGTGGTAAATGTGCGTGCATGAACGTAAGTTAATTTATCTTTCTTTACCTGTCATATTGCAATAATGTTGCCACTGCCAGTCTGATTGTTGTCATAGTTGCATATTGTAGTTCAGTATACAGAATTTGGAGAATTCTGCACACATTATTTACATGCATATTTTAGCGCCATTTATCGTGTGGTATTTAATATTATTGAATAGAGAAGATGTATACTGAGGTAAATGTTTGTTTACTGTATACAGACGGATTCTGATATTTTATTTGTTTATTTCAGACTAAACCACACTTGCCACCTCTGTTAATTTAAGAACTGTACAATGCTGGATGATGTAAAGTGACACATCCTGAAGATATAAACCATTGAACAACCATCTGTCTCCTGTCGCACTTCTTGCTGGAGTTCCGTAGTGGACTAGCATTCCACCTAACTACAGAGAACAGATTCCTTTACACAAAGGGATCCACTAGCATACACACGCATACACACACAAAGTACAAACATACAAGTCATGCCAAAACTTACCAGCCTAACTTATTAACATATGCTGAACACACTGAGTGTGAGTGGATTTATTTAATTTTTATCTGAAAGACAGTATAATTTTATGATTCAATATTATTTTTAACAACAACAACCCAATTATCTCTCCAACAATAAAATCAAACACTAATTTATTATAAGAAATCTGGTACGCTTACCGCAATAAACTTTCCCTGTGGAGTGTAGTACATTCAGCTAGCAAAAACCAGCTTCTGGAAAGCTATTTATTTGTCGTTTGCTTTTTGGAGACTCTTGACCTCTTTGTGCTGCAAGAGGGCCTCACTAAACGCCATCTGTCCTGCGGCTATTAATTTTTTAATTGGCTGTAATGTTGGCCAGACGCTGTACAGATGGTTTATGTTAGAAGCAGCTTCAGCTCATGTTCGGTCCAACTGTGAATGCTAATGCTAATGCTAGCCCAGAGTGTTTGATTAAATGTTTATCAGTTCTTGTACATTCTTCCGTAATAAATAAAAATCTGATGATTAATTTTAATTGATTTGGCATCAACAGCACTCCTTATGAAAATTTACCATAGTTTTATTATAGCACTAAAGTTTTTTTTAATTCAATATCAGCATGGTATGAATAGTAATATCAGCCATTTATTGGTTATTGGCTATAATGTGAAAACAATTATCAGCCCATTGGTATTGGCCATAATTTTCATACCGGTACATCTCGATAAATATTTATAAGGGAACAACTCGAATATTTTTAATAGATTTAAATTAATTCAGTTTGTCAATTTTGTTCTTGATCTCTTTCTGTATATTTCTTCCTCTAGTTACATAATAAGGGTCCAAGTTCAATAGGCAGGACTGTATTGGAGGTGGGATGGCCCAGTTGGTACCGTGAGGAACACCTCCTTTATGCCCTTCAGATCGTTACTGACGGACCTGTTCACTGCAGTGTTAACGGCTCCCTAAACCCGCTGAAGTTAGAGGTAGCACATGCACACAAACTCTTTTCTCTCTATCCTCTGTTTTTTTTTCTCCTTGAGAATGTCATTCTTAAAGAGATCCAATGCCAGAAGAAAGGGTCTGCATCCACAGTTTTTTAACAATGCTTCGTTGAAGTTGAGCCCCTGAACAGATCTTTTAACAAATAAAATCAAACAAATCTTTTCTCTCTCTCTAGTCTGTTCCTTGCTGTCATAAATCTCAGGTTTCTGTGCTTTTACTAATGAGCCTCAAATAAATGTAAAAGTATGACTGCTGAGTCCTGCTTGTTTTTGATCAGAGAGTGTTTGACTAATTCTGACCCCTCTGCTCTCTTGACTGGACTTTATCGCTGTTCAGATTTCATTTGCAGTCTCTGTGCCTTGTAACTGATCTGCAGTTCAGAATTTTAACCACCTGGACTGATATTAGAGCTCTTTTCCTGTGAATTTTAGAGAGCGTTTTGGCCAAAAACTTTGTGTCTGCCTCTCTTGCCACATTCACACAGTGACAAATGCTATTTATATATGCCATGATATTTCATGTGTAACTATTTTATTGCTGTTATATTTAAAAATTCATGACAGTGTTGTTACTGTTAAGTAAAACTAAAAGTATTAACTATTAACTATTAAAGAATTTATAATTGAAATAAATTAAATGTAGAAAATTAGAAAACAAAATTAGAAATGCTGCTTTAGAATCTAACTGAAATAAGTAAAAGTACTCAAATTAAAATAAGTATAAGTAAAGAAAAATAAGTAAAAACTAAAATAAACTATTTTTACAAACTAACGCACATAGCACATTGCATCTAATATATATTTATGATTCCTCTCCTATCTCTGTCTTTCTCCTGCATGCTTAGACCTCCACTCTTCAGGACACTCCAGAATTACTGGGCTTTCTGAGGAACAGCAGCGGTTCAACTCGCCATAGACGATCTGTTTCTACAGCCCAGAGTTACAACAGCAAGATTCTGGTACACACACCCTACACCACTCAGCACTCATACACTCCCACCAGTACCACAAACACTCACACAAACCACCTGGAGCACATGGCTGCACACCTTGTGGGAACAGCCTCATATATGTGACAGATGGACTCTTATGTTCAACTTGACATGTTATGGGGACCTGTGTTGACCTCAAAGGCTGAGTTCACCTGTAAATCTCATAACAGGTCATTCATATTATGCTTATTGTCTTGCTCTCTCGAAGTGTCCCTTTAGGGGGTTTGTGTGTGTGTGCATGGACCAGCTGGTTTTGATAATCATAGCCCATCACACGTCAAGCAATGAGATGAGACAGGGCAGAGGTCATGTCCTATGCACATACACAAACAGTTGACATAGATACTTCATACATACACACCATCACTCATCTCTTTAAATGTGACCACAACAAATGCCTCAAAATCAAGTGAGGCTTTCAAGACACATGGCACATCTGCAGAGGTACAGCAATGTGAAAATGCTTATATTTTGCACTTTTCTAATTCAGCACTTTAATACCGTTTGTTATTATTACAAATGGTATTATCAGCAAAAGAATTTAAGTGACAGGTTAAATTAAAAACCTCTTAATTTTATGGCTAAAGTTTTTTCAAACTCTTAAAACTTACTAGGTATTATTTAGATGTTCAATCCCAAATTTTTAATGTAACAGGAAGAGAGATATGAGACAAAATGAAATCGCAGACTTTTTCCCTCATTGTGTGTGTTTGTGATAGAACTGCTCAAATATCAACTGCCTGATGGTGGAGTGTGATGTGGATCGCTTGGATCGAGGGCAAAGTGCAGTGATCAAGTTCAGATCTCGACTCTGGGCTCACACCTTCTTACAGGTACTTTTATCACACAACTATCCTTGTATTTCTTGCTAATTGGGCAAGAAAGTCTTGTTGGTTAACCTCGTTAAAGGGATAGTTCACTCAAAAATGAAAACTGAGTAAGCATTTACTCATCCATGTCATTCTAAAAATGTATAACTTTCTTTTCTATGTATAACAAATATGACACTCTTTTGTATGTATTATATATATATATATATATATATATATATAATCTGAATATATAAATGTAAATTGTGAATATATAGAAGTCAATCAAAATATATTTTTATAAATCTGAATATATATAAATGTAAATCAGAATATAAAGATAAAAATCTTAAAGTCCCTGTAAAGTCAATTCTGAGAATTGTTTCTAAACGCATTATAAATGTTACAAATGTATTGCTGAAACGCATTACACAGACTGTGAATTCTGTAGTACTAAATAATGGAGTTAGACCGTTAAACAGTTTTTCACCAATTCTGTATTCAGGATTTTTTGGGCGGGGCTAAAACAGTGGCTCGATGACGCACTGGAGCCACCGATGGCTCGATGGGAGCCATCAATCATGGCCCCTCCCCTAACACTATAGGTTTCAGCACAGACAGCGGACACACCCCCAGCGTTTGAGAGCAGAGGATACCGCCCATTTTTTAGAGATTTTGATAACTTATTTTATGTACTTAGCGGACTTTTTTTATCATTCAAATTTGGCTGAGTGGTTAATAATACATTTTTCTGTTGTGTGACAAACTCAGAACACATACTTAATATTGACTTTACAGGGACTTTAATATATAAATGTAAATAATTTGTAGTTATAATTCTGAATATATAAATATAAATTGCAATATGTAGATATGTCTGAATATATAAATGTAAATTGCAATATATAGATATAAATCTGAATATATAGATACAAAACTGAATATATAAATATAAATCATGAATATATGAATAGAAGTAAATCTGAATATACATTTTTTTTTAAGAAAAAAAAATATGTTTTAAAAGTACATGATATGTAAAACTTAAAAAATAGCCAAGTACATGACTATTTTTTAAGTTTTAAAGAAAAGAAGTAAATTCCAAAATATATTTATAAGTTTGAATATATAAATGTAAATTGTGAATATATAGTTGTTATTCTGACTATATAATTCTAAATGGGAATGTATATTTATAAGTCTCACATGCCGCTGCAATTGTCTCAATAAAATCAGTATTTGTAAACAGATTATGTTTCAGCTCTATAAGCCATGTTGAATTGTCTAGAAAGCTAAGTATTAACACTGTCACTGACTGTGAGGATCTTTTGGCACCACCAGCCTTTTTTCAAGTAAGGGAAAATACTCCTTTTGGTTAAGATAAGCTATATGCACTTACAATAATTAATTAATAATTAGTACAATATCTGCACTGATACATGTATACAGGATGTATAGGCATTCTGTTTTCATTGAAAGAAAAATCAATAAAGAACCTATGTCTATTGGTATGTCAAATAATAAAGATATAATTATATTGAGATGTAGAGAATACATTCATATTTGCTTTTATATATTCAGAATTTTTTTATATATATTCCTATTTACAGTTATATTTTCAGAATTATAACTATATTCATGAATTACATTTATACATATTAACAATTTACATTTATATATTCAGACTTATAACATGTTCACCACTTACATTTATATATTCAGATTTGTGTCTATATATTCTGGTTTATATTTATACATTCTGATTTACTTCTATATATTCAAACATACAACTATATATTCTGATTTACATTTATATATTCAGATTTTATGTAAGTATTTCCTCTTTGTCCCTTCATAATACATACATACATACAAATATCTCCCAAAGTACCACAGAAGAAAAAAAGATTTAAAAAAAAAAAAACACTGAACACCAAAACATTCTTCAAAATGTGTTATTTTCTATTCCAAAGAAAGAAAGTCATACAGTTTGGAAGAACATGAGTGGGAATAAATTATGACAGAATTTTCGATTTTGGGTGAACTGTTCATTTAGGAAATCTGCTGGGAAAACCAGCATCCAAAGTACAATATCTGCTGGATACAGTCTATGTAATTACAGAGAAAGATGCAGCCTGGAATCTACTGTATTGTATAAACATTAACAAACTGTCACAGTGTTATCTTCACAGTATCCCTGTAAAGTCCAGCTGGTGATTTTCACTTCTTAAATCACTGTATGATCAAAGGCTCTTATTAAGCTGCGTTTACACTGACTGTGATTTTCAGCAACAAACTGACCAGCAGTGATTTATTTTCAATGAGAGTTGGCTATTTGAGGCATCATGAGAGACCATGGCTGATGCAACAAAGTTCAGCAGAGTTCAGCTTTATGTAAATGCACAGTGACATAATTTGTCAACTACCAATGGGAGTGCAGACAGTGAAGTGTACTGAACTCCTAAGTGACTTAAAGAGACCGTTCACTCACCCTCATGTCGTTCCAAACCTATATGACGCTCTTCATTCTGTGGAACACAAAAAATATATTTTGAATTATGTTTCAGTCAATACAATGAAAATCAATGGGGTCCAATGTTCTTTTCGGACCCCACTGACTTTCATTGTTTTCAAACTGTTAAAACATTCTTCAAAGTATTTTCTTTTCTGTCCCAAAGAAAGCCACACCGATTTAGAACAACATGAGGGTGAGTAAATGTTCATTTTTGAGTGAACTATCCTTTTAACGTGGTGTTCACGGCCACCCTTCCTTTCTGAACACAACAAAGTGTTGTCACCCTCAGATGTTAGGCTAGTGTCACAGGAGATGACATCACCAGTCTAGTTAGACATTTTAGACACCTCAGTCACCTCAGTTATACCCTGACATCATAAGAAGAAATGCCTTTCATCTCATGTCCACAGGATAGTCCACAGAAACCAGACACGTGTATGAGAGCACGTACACTGGTGTGTCTGCAGGACAGTAGTGCTCAATGCATGTGTGTCCTGTGAGTGAGTGCAGGAAGTACTTTAAGTTTTAGTTTTGCTGCTCGTTTGACCACTGCTTCTCTCTAAGCCTCATCCATGCTGAAGCCATTACAACTCAGCGCCCTGTCAGACACTCGCCATGTGCTTTCTGTTAATGTTAATCTGACATTTTCCTCTTCTGCGAGGGATCAGCCCTCTATCTCGCTTGCTCCGAGATGTTTCCATGTGTATTGTATTTATGCTAATCCATTGCTTTCTTCTGGCAGAGACGGAATGACCACTACACGCTAAACTCCACAGTGTCCTTTCAAGTGATGTCCATGCCTTATCGGATCAAAGCTGATTCACTCCCACACCAGAGGAAATCAGTGAGTAATCTAGTGTGTTTGTGTGGGTGCAGACTGAGGAACGTGGAAAACAACAGAGGAAAAGGAGAACATGTGGATTAGAACGAGAGAAAAAAAAATATTCTCAACTGAGTTTTAAGATAGACTAAACACTGCTTAGTTCAGTCTGTTTAGCTTCTTATGGAGTAGTTTGAACCATGGAAGTTTCTAACATTCCTATTATTTGCTGTCTGGAAGTTTTTCCTCTTTAGAAATGAGTGGCGATTATAGAAAATCATCAGGGGCAAAATCTGGAAATGTTACGAATCAAATTTGAACTCTCTATTTCCACAAGAGCACCAAGATTCAATGTTTTGGAATGTACACTACAGTTAAAAAGTTAGGGATCAGTTAATTTTTTTTTTTTCATAAAAAAATAATAATAATAATAATATTTTCATTTAGCAAGTACACATTAAATTGATTAAAAGTGACAGTAAAGACATTTATACTGTTACAAAAGATTTTTATTTTAAATAAATGCTGTTCTTTTGAACTTTCTATTCATCGAAGAATACTTTTTAAAAAATGTATCACTGTTTCCAAAATATACACTGAACAAAATTATAAACGCAACACTTTTGTTTTTGCCCCCATTTTTCATGAGCTGAACTCAAAGATCTAAGACTTTTTCTATGTACACAAAAGGCCTATTTCTCTCAAATATTGTTCACAAATCTGTCTAAATCTGTGTTAGTGAGCACTTCTCCTTTGCCGAGATAATCCATCCACCTCACAGGTGTGGCATATCAAGATGCTGATTAACTGGTTTCCGGACCCCCCAATACAGTAAAACTGCACATTTTAGAGGCTTTTAGGCCTTTTATTGTGGCCAGCCTAAGGCACACCTGTGCAATAATCATGCTGTCTAATCAGCATCTTGATATGCCACACCTGTGAGGTGGATGGATTATCTCGGCAAAGGAGAAGTGCTCACTAACACAGATTTAGACAGATTTGTGAACAATATTTGAGAGAAATAGGCCTTTTGTGTACATAGAAAAAGTCTTAGATCTTTGAGTTCAGCTCATGAAAAATGGGGGCAAAAACAAAAGTGTTGCGTTTATAATTTTGTTCAGTGTATGAGAATGATATCTGGAGGATAAAAACTAGAGTAATGACTGCTAAAGATTCAGATTTACCATCACAGGAATAAATTACATTTTAAAATTGGACATATTACCATAGTACGTTTGTGGTATTTTAGACATGTACCATGTTATTCTTAGAAGTACATTGGAGTACCATTTAAATACAATGGGATCACCAGTACCAGATGATACCATGTGCTGTTACCACCACAGTACTTTTTTGTAAGGCTCTTTATGTATTAACAGCATTAGGGCTTCTAAGTGCTAAAAGGTATTATAAACATAATACCCACACTTTCCTCTCTGTGTGTGTGTGTGTGTGTGTGTGTGTGTGTGTGTGTGTGTGTGTGTGTGTGTGTGTGTGTGTACTATATAAAACTGACAGAAAAGGAAGGAAATGAAATAACAATAAACAAAGCTTTCTGAAGAAGCTTGTTACATTTAGTTGTAAAACGAGACAGAGATGAGAGGCGATAAGGGAAAGTAAGCTATTAAACTGATTTATGCATGCTAATATCATAGCTACATCAGTGCTAGTAAAAAATTAATGACCTCTGTGTTTTTGTGCGCTTGTGTTTTTAAGATTGGCACATTTGTGGTGTGGGCCATTCCTGATGTTTCTTTTGCCATTCCCCTGTGGGTAATAATTCTGGCTATACTGCTAGGTCTGCTGGTGCTGGCTATGCTTAGCCTAGCAATGTGGAAGGTAGGTTGATCTAACACACACATACACACAAATACACAGTCTCACACTGACACTCACACTGACTCGGCTCTAACCATGATGCTGTTGTGAATACAATAATCACTAGTCACAAAACTGATAATAAACAAGCTGTGTGTTTCATAGCAAGCACACAACGCCGAGGTCTATTGTATTATGATTAATGCGTGTACATGCTGGACGAAGCCAAGCTACAGTCACATTATCTAGGTCTGTTATTCCGACTTCAGATGGGCACAATTTCAATTAAGGACTAAAGTGTTTATTTGAAATTATAGAAAGACAAATTATTGCTTTAGTCTGACTGAAACTGAACTTCGTGCGTTCATGTAAACGTACAGAGGAAATACATGCTCTCAGAGTGTTTCATGTGTATGTTGGCAATAGTCTTCAAGAACAGCAAAATGCGTCTGTCTGTGCTTCAGTGAAATAACAAAACGAAGGAACTACAGGGGGTAGAGAAAGAGATGGCTGTTAGAGATAGAGTGAGAGAAGGAGATGGTGGAGGAAGTAGAAAAGGGGTTGGAGGAAGTGAAGTGAAAAAGGTATGGGGAACACTGGAAAAACTTGATGGAAATTGGCAAATCAGATTAACAGATAAAGGAGAGAGAGATAGGGAATGCTGTTGCAGTTGGGCATTAATGAGCCATTTGTGATGTTATCAGTGTTTTGTCTGCAGGGCTGTTCTCAGGCTCTTGATAGGGTCCCTATGGAGGAGACCTGCCCTAATTGGCTAACGTGTACAAACACACTGATGAGTGAAGAGTGTGCGTGGGTGCACAAGAGGAAAATATCAATCAGATGCGAGGGGGCTTTTAGAGCAGTTGTGGCTCTAGATTTTAGTTTAACACAGGCCATTATATGTTTTATAGATAGTGTCACATAAAAGGGATTAGAAAAGTGAGGAAAACATGAATGTGTTCCACTGAGAATACAATGTAATAGTCCCCTCTTGTGGTGAAATTGGTTGTTGACAAAGTGTTAATGAACTTTTTTTTATCAACATCAAGATTTTGAATTAATATACAGTATAAATTGTATTGTATAAGATGTGTGTGTGTATATATTAGATTTAGAATTAAATTTCTAAAAATAGAAATGTTCATTTTTATTTTATTTTTTTTTCATTTTATCATCATAATTTATTTTTTGTTTGTTTTTTTATTATTTACCATGTATTTCCAGGTTTAAAGTTGATTGTGTATGTGTGTGTTATGAGTTGATTAATGATAGTATTAGGATATAAAATATATATGCATATATTATGAAATCATAAGAACTGCATATATAATAATTAGGTGCTGTAAAGGTGCATTCATTTATGTCAGCTGCTCATATAGGAAGTGCTTATTACGATTACTGCCCTGCTGCTTATCACAAAATATTTCCAATTTTAAAGGAAATTATATCTGCTTAATCAGCATATCCATAAACAGATCTGACTGCAGTCACTGAGTGAATCTCAGGTCTTAAATGGGCCATTGTTTTCAGCCTCTGAGAGCACATCTGTGCAAGTGTTTTAGAAGACAAAACATTGGAAGAAATTAATAATGTCTGTTATCCCAGGGATCATATCCTCATCATCTGTTCTTTGTCTTTTTTTCTTTTCCTCACCCATCTCGTCCCACCTGCTCTCCTTCTTCAGTGCGGCTTCTTCGATCGGGCGCGGCCACCCAAAGACGATGACGTGTCAGACCGCGAGCAGCTGACCGCAGAAAAATCCACAGATGCGTGAGAGCAGAACAGATGACAATTATGAATAAAGAGTTCATGGGATGAATCACCATGAAGAGAGTGGAGGGGCTATGTCCGAAGGTTTCGGTATCTTTGTAGAAGACTACAGATCCAAGCCTGTAAATAAACTACAGCTCTCACACTGGACTGCAATCTGTGAGCTGGGCCACAGTACCACTCAAAAACATTTCTAAAGCTTTATTTAAAATGACGGAAGAGCAAGAACTATGGACGTTGCACTCTGATAGAGCTGCAATATCCACAGGATCCAAAGTACAAGACTACAGGCTGATCAATGCAATCCCAAAGATTTAGATCTCACTCTCTGATCAACTCCATCGACTTACATTGAAGCACAGTGATAATTTTTGACAATATATTGTTTAAAACTTCCAATGGAACTTAAGATCATATCTTCTCATCACCAGCTCAGCACAAACTCTGGATAATCCCACAATATGCTTCACATTGGCCACATACACACTGCAGCTAAATATGGATTCACTCCTCTTTTAAGACATTTCTGATATTTCTTTCATTTCATATTTAAATATCAAACACCAAACAGGTTAAACTGTTCCATATTTCATGTTTACAGCCGAGGGATTATTACTTTATTATTATGATTATTACTGTGGCAGTTTCAGGAGTGACTCCTGTTTTATGTACACACACAGAACAATAATTTAGGAGATTCACACCCACACTTGTATATGGTTGTCACTCTCAAAACTTTGCAGTGTGTTAACAGAGTGTTTAAAAATAACACAGAAAGTGACATACTGTATGCAAATAATTGATGTCACCTACAAGTATACTTTATGTATTGTCAGAAAATGATTGATGATGGTGTAGTGGTAAATTCTGCGATCTGACTAGAATCTTTATTCTTACAAAGCTGGTCTGTTGCATCATCAGCCCACAATGTAGTTTCACAGCATTGTCTCATTTCACATGCCTTGTCAATGATTGTACTCATTACATATTGAAGCTTGTAAAAGAATAGCTCACTACGTACAAAGATGGGGATGGGGGGTTATGAGCAGATATAAATTATATGTGCAATAATGGGACATTTTTGAGTTGATAATTTGTGTGTACACTGGCTCCAAAATGTTTAAAACCTGAGGTTCAGGTTGTTTTGTATATAAAGTTAAAATACTTATTTGTCAGGCTTTGTCAGAGAATATTTCTTTTCCAAACTAAAGGGAACAACAATATTTTGTCTTTCAGCTAAATGCATCGATAAATCACCAATCACGTTAGATGACATGGGCACATTTATTTCATCTGTTGGGAATTCTTCTTTTTTTTTTTTTTTTTTTT